CTTCATTTCGATCGCCATAGTTCGCGTACGCTGATGGTCTCCCAGTGGGCACAGAAGATGCAGCCGTCACAAGATCCATCTCTCGGCTGTTCCTGAGTGATGTATGATGTTCACGTGTCACTGTTTAGAATGTCACGTTTGATGAGTTTCTGCACCCGAAAAAAGTGAAGGAGAGATGCAGCAAGTAGATTTGGGTGTTCCTTGCAGCGTAGAAGATGTGAAAGGGTGTGTAGTAGCGTGAAAAGATTGTGAATGCGTCTGGGGTGTCGCATGTGTTGAACCGAGTGTAGCTCAGTTGGTAGAGCGATTGACTGTAGTGTTGTAGGCTGTGTATTAGTGTGCTCGGAAATCAATTGGTCGCTGGTTCGATTCCGGCCACTCGGAGTTATGTGGCACCCTTGAGTTGCCCGTTCGCGCACTTGATGGCCTCTTTTTTGGCGTTTATTGTCGGTCATTTGCGTTCAAGAGAGCTATCCGTGCTTCATTTGAACAGAGCCCTCACTAGACGACCTGTACAACCAAGTCCACATCGTTATCCTTGCGGTGTATTGGGGTTCAGGGGGGCATTTACTCGATTGTTCAGTGCTCTCTTCCGTATTACACTCGTGTCGTCGAAGTTGGTATTGACGCAGGCCAAACACAATCGAGATTGAAGGCAGATCACGTCACAGAGAGACGACGCATATTCGACAACGCTCGACGTTGTAAATTCAGGCCGCGAGGAGATTTGCGATCTTCTTCATTTCGATCGCCATAGTTCGCGTACGCTGATGGTCTCCCAGTGGGCACAGAAGATGCAGCCGTCACAAGATCCACCTCTCGGCTGTTCCTGAGTGATGTATGATGTTCACGTGTCACTGTTTAGAATGTCACGTTTGATGAGTTTCTGCACCCGAAAAAAGTGAAGGAGAGGTGCAGCAAGTCGATTTGGGTGTTCCTTGCAGCGTAGAAGATGTGAAAGGGTGTGTAGTAGCGTGAAAAGATTTGTGAATGCGTCTGGGGTGTCGCATGTGTTGAACCGAGTGTAGCTCAGTTGGTAGAGCGATTGACTGTAGTGTTGTAGGCTGTGTATCAGTGTGCTCGGAAATCAATTGGTCGCTGGTTCGATTCCGGCCACTCGGAGTTATGTGGCACCCTTGAGTTGCCCGTTCGCGCACTTGATGGCCTCTTTTTTGGCGTTTGTTGTCGGTCATTTGCGTTCAAGAGAGCTATCCGTGCTTCATTCGAACAGAGCCCTCACTAGATCACCCATACAACCAAGTCCACATCGTTATCCTTGCGGTGCATTGGGTTTCAGGGGGGCATTAACTCGATTGTTCAGTGCTCTCTTCCGTATTACACTCGTGTCGTCGAAGTTGGTATTGATGCAGGCCAAACACAATCGAGATTGAAGGCAGATCACGTCACAGAGAGACGGCGCATATTCGACGACGCTCGACGTTGTAAATTCAGGCCGCGAGGAGATTTGCGATCTTCTTCATTTCGATCGCCATAGTTCGCGTACGCTGATGGTCTCCCAGTGGGCACAGAAGATGCAGCCGTCACAAGATCCACCTCTTGGCTGTTCCTGAGTGATGTATGATGCTCACGTGTCACTGTTTAGAATGTCACGTTTGATGAGTTTCTGCACCCGAAAAAAGTGAAGGAGAGGTGCAGCAAGTCTATTTGGGTGTTCCTTGAAGCGTAGAAGATGTGAAAGGGTGTGTAGTAGCGTGAAAAGCTTTGTGAATGCGTCTGGGCTGTCGCATGTGTTGAACCTAGTGTAGCTCAGTTGGTAGAGCGATTGACTGTAGTGTTGTAGGCTGTGTATCAGTGTGCTCGGAAATCAATTGGTCGCTGGTTCGATTCCGGCCACTCGGAGTTATGTGGCACCCTTGAGTTGCCCGTTCGCGCACTTGATGGCCTCTTTTTTGGCGTTTATTGTCGGTCATTTGCGTTCAAGAGAGCTATCCGTGCTTCATTCGAACAGAGCCCTCACTAGATGACCCGTACAACCAAGTCCACATCGTTATCCTTGCGGTGTATTGGGGTTCAGGGGGGGCATTTACTCGATTGTTCAGTGCTCTCTTCCGTATTACACTCGTGTCGTCGAAGTTGGTATTGACGCAGGCCAAACACAATCGAGATTGAAGGCAGATCACGTCACAGAGAGACGGCGCATATTCGACAACGCTCGACGTTGTAAATTCAGGCCGCGAGGAGATTTGCGATCTTCTTCATTTCGATCGCCATAGTTCGCGTACGCTGATGGTCTCCCAGTGGGCACAGAAGATGCAGCCGTCACAAGATCCACCTCTCGGCTGTTCCTGAGTGATGTATGATGCTCACGTGTCACTGTTTAGAATGTCACGTTTGATGAGTTTCTGCACCCGAAAAAAGTGAAGGAGAGATGCAGCAAGTAGATTTGGGTGTTCCTTGCAGCGTAGAAGATGTGAAAGGGTGTGTAGTAGCGTGAAAAGATTGTGAATGCGTCTGGGGTGTCGCATGTGTTGAACCGAGTGTAGCTCAGTTGGTAGAGCGATTGACTGTAGTGTTTGTTGTGTATCAGTGTGCTCGGAAATCAATTGGTCGCTGGTTCGATTCCGGCCACTCGGAGTTATGTGGCACCATTGAGTTGCCCGTTCGCGCACTTGATGGCCTCTTTTTTGGCGTTTATTGTCGGTCATTTGCGTTCAAGAGAGCTATCCGTGCTTCATTTGAACAGAGCCCTCACTAGATGACCCGTACAACCAAGTCCACATCGTTATCCTTGCGGTGTATTGGGGTTCAGGGGGGCATTAACTCGATTGTTCAGTGCTCTCTTCCGTATTACACTCGTGTCGTCGAAGTTGGTATTGACGCAGGCCAAACACAATCGAGATTGAAGGCAGATCACGTCACAGAGAGACGACGCATATTCGACAACGCTCGACGTTGTAAATTCAGGCCGCGAGGAGATTTGCGATCTTCTTCATTTCGATCGCCATAGTTCGCGTACGCTGATGGTCTCCCAGTGGGCACAGAAGATGCAGCCGTCACAAGATCCACCTCTCGGCTGTTCCTGAGTGATGTATGATGCTCACGTGTCACTGTTTAGAATGTCACGTTTGATGAGTTTCTGCACCCGAAAAAAGTGAAGGAGAGGTGCAGCAAGTAGATTTGGGTGTTCCTTGCAGCGTAGAAGATGTGAAAGGGTGTGTAGTAGCGTGAAAAGATTTGTGAATGCGTCTGGGGTGTCGCATGTGTTGAACCTAGTGTAGCTCAGTTGGTAGAGCGATTGACTGTAGTGTTGTAGGCCGTGTATTAGTGTGCTCGGAAATCAATTGGTCGCTGGTTCGATTCCGGCCACTCGGAGTTATGTGGCACCCTTGAGTTGCCCGTTCGCGCACTTGATGGCCTCTTTTTTGGCGTTTATTGTCGGTCATTTGCGTTCGAGAGAGCTATCCGTGCTTCATTCGAACAGAGCCCTCACTAGATGACCCGTACAACCAAGTCCACATCGTTATCCTTGCGGTGTATTGGGGTTCAGGGGGGGCATTTACTCGATTGTTCAGTGCTCTCTTCCGTATTACACTCGTGTCGTCGAAGTTGGTATTGACGTAGGACAAACACAATCGAGATTGAAGGCAGATCACGTCACAGAGAGACGACGCGTATTCGACAACGCTCGACGTTGTAAATTCAGGCCGCGAGGAGATTTGCGATCTTCTTCATTTCGATCGCCATAGTTCGCGTACGCTGATGGTCTCCCAGTGGGCACAGAAGATGCAGCCGTCACAAGATCCATCTCTCGGCTGTTCCTGAGTGATGTATGATGTTCACGTGTCACTGTTTAGAATGTCACGTTTGATGAGTTTCTGCACCCGAAAAAAGTGAAGGAGAGATGCAGCAAGTAGATTTGGGTGTTCCTTGCAGCGTAGAATATGTGAAAGGGTGTGTAGTAGCGTGAAAAGATTGTGAATGCGTCTGGGGTGTCGCATGTGTTGAACCGAGTGTAGCTCAGTTGGTAGAGCGATTGACTGTAGTGTTTGTTGTGTATTAGTGTGCTCGGAAATCAATTGGTCGCTGGTTCGATTCCGGCCACTCGGAGTTATGTGGCACCCTTGAGTTGCCCGTTCGCGCACTTGATGGCCTCTTTTTTGGCGTTTATTGTCGGTCATTTGCGTTCAAGAGAGCTATCCGTGCTTCATTCGAACAGAGCCCTCACTAGATGACCCGTACAACCAAGTCCACATCGTTATCCTTGCGGTGTATTGGGGTTCAGGGGGGCATTAACTCGATTGTTCAGTGCTCTCTTCCGTATTACACTCGTGTCGTCGAAGTTGGTATTGACGTAGGACAAACACAATCGAGATTGAAGGCAGATCACGTCACAGAGAGACGACGCGTATTCGACAACGCTCGACGTTGTAAATTCAGGCCGCGAGGAGATTTGCGATCTTCTTCATTTCGATCGCCATAGTTCGCGTACGCTGATGGTCTCCCAGTGGGCACAGAAGATGCAGCCGTCACAAGATCCATCTCTCGGCTGTTCCTGAGTGATGTATGATGTTCACGTGTCACTGTTTAGAATGTCACGTTTGATGAGTTTCTGCACCCGAAAAAAGTGAAGGAGAGATGCAGCAAGTAGATTTGGGTGTTCCTTGCAGCGTAGAAGATGTGAAAGGGTGTGTAGTAGCGTGAAAAGCTTTGTGAATGCGTCTGGGGTGTCGCATGTGTTGAACCGAGTGTAGCTCAGTTGGTAGAGCGATTGACTGTAGTGTTGTAGGCTGTGTATTAGTGTGCTCGGAAATCAATTGGTCGCTGGTTCGATTCCGGCCACTCGGAGTTATGTGGCACCCTTGAGTTGCCCGTTCGCGCACTTGATGGCCTCTTTTTTGGCGTTTATTGTCGGTCATTTGCGTTCAAGAGAGCTATCCGTGCTTCATTTGAACAGAGCCCTCACTAGATGACCCGTACAACCAAGTCCACATCGTTATCCTTGCGGTGTATTGGGGTTCAGGGGGGCATTAACTCGATTGTTCAGTGCTCTCTTCCGTATTACACTCGTGTCGTCGAAGTTGGTATTGACGTAGGACAAACACAATCGAGATTGAAGGCAGATCACGTCACAGAGAGACGACGCATATTCGACAACGCTCGACGTTGTAAATTCAGGCCGCGAGGAGATTTGCGATCTTCTTCATTTCGATCGCCATAGTTCGCGTACGCTGATGGTCTCCCAGTGGGCACAGAAGATGCAGCCGTCACAAGATCCACCTCTCGGCTGTTCCTGAGTGATGTATGATGCTCACGTGTCACTGTTTAGAATGTCACGTTTGATGAGTTTCTGCACCCAAAAAAAGTGAAGGAGAGGTGCAGCAAGTCTATTTGGGTGTTCCTTGCAGCGTAGAAGATGTGAAAGGGTGTGTAGTAGCGTGAAAAGATTGTGAATGCGTCTGGGGTGTCGCATGTGTTGAACCGAGTGTAGCTCAGTTGGTAGAGCGATTGACTGTAGTGTTGTAGGCTGTGTATCAGTGTGCTCGGAAATCAATTGGTCGCTGGTTCGATTCCGGCCACTCGGAGTTATGTGGCACCCTTGAGTTGCCCGTTCGCGCACTTGATGGCCTCTTTTTTGGCGTTTGTTGTCGGTCATTTGCGTTCAAGAGAGCTATCCGTGCTTCATTTGAACAGAGCCCTCACTAGATGACCCGTACAACCAAGTCCACATCGTTATCCTTGCGGTGTATTGGGGTTCAGGGGGGCATTAACTCGATTGTTCAGTGCTCTCTTCCGTATTACACTCGTGTCGTCGAAGTTGGTATTGACGCAGGCCAAACACAATCGAGATTGAAGGCAGATCACGTCACAGAGAGACGACGCATATTCGACAAGGCTCGACGTTGTAAATTCAGGCCGCGAGGAGATTTGCGATCTTCTTCATTTCGATCGCCATAGTTCGCGTACGCTGATGGTCTCCCAGTGGGCACAGAAGATGCAGCCGTCACAAGATCCACCTCTCGGCTGTTCCTGAGTGATGTATGATGCTCACGTGTCACTGTTTAGAATGTCACGTTTGATGAGTTTCTGCACCCGAAAAAAGTGAAGGAGAGGTGCAGCAAGTCTATTTGGGTGTTCCTTGCAGCGTAGAAGATGTGAAAGGGTGTGTAGTAGCGTGAAAAGATTGTGAATGCGTCTGGGGTGTCGCATGTGTTGAACCGAGTGTAGCTCAGTTGGTAGAGCGATTGACTGTAGTGTTGTAGGCTGTGTATCAGTGTGCTCGGAAATCAATTGGTCGCTGGTTCGATTCCGGCCACTCGGAGTTATGTGGCACCCTTGAGTTGCCCGTTCGCGCACTTGATGGCCTCTTTTTTGGCGTTTGTTGTCGGTCATTTGCGTTCAAGAGAGCTATCCGTGCTTCATTTGAACAGAGCCCTCACTAGACCACCTGTACAACCAAGTCCACATCGTTATCCTTGCGGTGTATTGGGGTTCAGGGGGGCATTTACTCGATTGTTCAGTGCTCTCTTCCGTATTACACTCGTGTCGTCGAAGTTGGTATTGACGCAGGCCAAACACAATCGAGATTGAAGGCAGATCACGTCACAGAGAGACGGCGCATATTCGACGACGCTCGACGTTGTAAATTCAGGCCGCGAGGAGATTTGCGATCTTCTTCATTTCGATCGCCATAGTTCGCGTACGCTGATGGTCTCCCAGTGGGCACAGAAGATGCAGCCGTCACAAGATCCACCTCTCGGCTGTTCCTGAGTAATGTATGATGCTCACGTGTCACTGTTTAGAATGTCACGTTTGATGAGTTTCTGCACCCGAAAAAAGTGAAGGAGAGATGCAGCAAGTAGATTTGGGTGTTCCTTGCAGCGTAGAAGATGTGAAAGGGTGTGTAGTAGCGTGAAAAGATTGTGAATGCGTCTGGGGTGTCGCATGTGTTGAACCGAGTGTAGCTCAGTTGGTAGAGCGATTGACTGTAGTGTTGTAGGCTGTGTATCAGTGTGCTCGGAAATCAATTGGTCGCTGGTTCGATTCCGGCCACTCGGAGTTATGCGGCACCCTTGAGTTGCCCGTTCGCGCACTTGATGGCCTCTTTTTTGGCGTTTGTTGTCGGTCATTTGCGTTCAAGAGAGCTATCCGTGCTTCATTTGAACAGAGCCCTCACTAGACCACCTGTACAACCAAGTCCACATCGTTATCCTTGCGGTGTCATTGGGGTTCAGGGGGGCATTTACTCGATTGTTCAGTTCTCTCTTCCGTATTACACTCGTGTCGTCGAAGTTGGTATTGATGCAGGCCAAACACAATCGAGATTGAAGGCAGATCACGTCACAGAGAGACGGCGCATATTCGACGACGCTCGACGTTGTAAATTCAGGCCGCGAGGAGATTTGCGATCTTCTTCATTTCGATCGCCATAGTTCGCGTACGCTGATGGTCTCCCAGTGGGCACAGAAGATGCAGCCGTCACAAGATCCACCTCTCGGCTGTTCCTGAGTAATGTATGATGCTCACGTGTCACTGTTTAGAATGTCACGTTTGATGAGTTTCTGCACGCAAAAAAAGTGAAGGAGAGGTGCAGCAAGTCTATTTGGGTGTTCCTTGCAGTGTAGAAGATGTGAAAGGGTGTGTAGTAGCGTGAAAAGATTGTGAATGCGTCTGGGGTGTCGCATGTGTTGAACCGAGTGTAGCTCAGTTGGTAGAGCGATTGACTGTAGTGTTGTAGGCTGTGTATCAGTGTGCTCGGAAATCAATTGGTCGCTGGTTCGATTCCGGCCACTCGGAGTTATGTGGCACCCTTGAGTTGCCCGTTCGCGCACTTGATGGCCTCTTTTTTGGCGTTTGTTGTCGGTCATTTGCGTTCAAGAGAGCTATCCGTGCTTCATTTGAACAGAGCCCTCACTAGACCACCTGTACAACCAAGTCCACATCGTTATCCTTGCGGTGTATTGGGGTTCAGGGGGGCATTTACTCGATTGTTCAGTGCTCTCTTCCGTATTACACTCGTGTCGTCGAAGTTGGTATTGACGCAGGCCAAACACAATCGAGATTGAAGGCAGATCACGTCACAGAGAGACGACGCATATTCGACAAGGCTCGACGCTGTAAATTCAGGCCGCGAGGAGATTTGCGATCTTCTTCATTTCGATCGCCATAGTTCGCGTACGCTGGTGGTCTCCCAGTGGGCACAGAAGATGCAGCCGTCACAAGATCCACCTCTCGGCTGTTCCTGAGTAATGTATGATGCTCACGTGTCACTGTTTAGAATGTCACGTTTGATGAGTTTCTGCACCCGAAAAAGTGAAGGAGAGGTGCAGCAAGTCTATTTGGGTGTTCCTTGCAGTGTAGAAGATGTGAAAGGGTGTGTAGTAGCGTGAAAAGATTGTGAATGCGTCTGGGGTGTCGCATGTGTTGAACCGAGTGTAGCTCAGTTGGTAGAGCGATTGACTGTAGTGTTGTAGGCTGTGTATCAGTGTGCTCGGAAATCAATTGGTCGCTGGTTCGATTCCGGCCACTCGGAGTTATGCGGCACCCTTGAGTTGCCCGTTCGCGCACTTGATGGCCTCTTTTTTGGCGTTTGTTGTCGGTCATTTGCGTTCAAGAGAGCTATCCGTGCTTCATTTGAACAGAGCCCTCGCTAGACCACCTGTACAACCAAGTCCACATCGTTATCCTTGCGGTGTATTGGGGTTCAGGGGGGCATTTACTCGATTGTTCAGTGCTCTCTTCCGTATTACACTCGTGTCGTCGAAGTTGGTATTGACGCAGGCCAAACACAATCGAGATTGAAGGCAGATCACGTCACAGAGAGACGACGCATATTCGACAACGCTCGACGTTGTAAATTCAGGCCGCGAGGAGATTTGCGATCTTCTTCATTTCGATCGCCATAGTTCGCGTACGCTGGTGGTCTCCCAGTGGGCACAGAAGATGCAGCCGTCACAAGATCCACCTCTCGGCTGTTCCTGAGTAATGTATGATGCTCACGTGTCACTGTTTAGAATGTCACGTTTGATGAGTTTCTGCACCCGAAAAAAGTGAAGGAGAGGTGCAGCAAGTCTATTTGGGTGTTCCTTGCAGTGTAGAAGATGTGAAAGGGTGTGTAGTAGCGTGAAAAGCTTTGTGAATGCGTCTGGGGTGTCGCATGTGTTGAACCGAGTGTAGCTCAGTTGGTAGAGCGATTGACTGTAGTGTTGTAGGCTGTGTATCAGTGTGCTCGGAAATCAATTGGTCGCTGGTTCGATTCCGGCCACTCGGAGTTATGCGGCACCCTTGAGTTGCCCGTTCGCGCACTTGATGGCCTCTTTTTTGGCGTTTGTTGTCGGTCATTTGCGTTCAAGAGAGCTATCCGTGCTTCATTTGAACAGAGCCCTCGCTAGACCACCTGTACAACCAAGTCCACATCGTTATCCTTGCGGTGCATTGGGGTTCAGGGGGGCATTTACTCGATTGTTCAGTTCTCTCTTCCGTATTACACTCGTGTCGTCGAAGTTGGTATTGATGCAGGCCAAACACAATCGAGATTGAAGGCAGATCACGTCACAGAGAGACGGCGCATATTCGACGACGCTCGACGTTGTAAATTCAGGCCGCGAGAAGATTTGCGATCTTCTTCATTTCGATCGCCATAGTTCGCGTACGCTGATGGTCTCCCAGTGGGCACAGAAGATGCAGCCGTCACAAGATCCACCTCTCGGCTGTTCCTGAGTAATGTATGATGCTCACGTGTCACTGTTTAGAATGTCACGTTTGATGAGTTTCTGCACGCAAAAAAAGTGAAGGAGAGGTGCAGCAAGTCTATTTGGGTGTTCCTTGCAGTGTAGAAGATGTGAAAGGGTGTGTAGCAGCGTGAAAAGCTTTGTGAATGCGTCTGGGGTGTCGCATGTGTTGAACCGAGTGTAGCTCAGTTGGTAGAGCGATTGACTGTAGTGTTGTAGGCTGTGTATCAGTGTGCTCGGAAATCAATTGGTCGCTGGTTCGATTCCGGCCACTCGGAGTTATGTGGCACCCTTGAGTTGCCCGTTCGCGCACTTGATGGCCTCTTTTTTGGCGTTTGTTGTCGGTCATTTGCGTTCAAGAGAGCTATCCGTGCTTCATTCGAACAGAGCCCTCGCTAGACCACCTGTACAACCAAGTCCACATCGTTATCCTTGCGGTGCATTGGGGTTCAGGGGGGCATTTACTCGATTGTTCAGTTCTCTCTTCCGTATTACACTCGTGTCGTCGAAGTTGGTATTGATGCAGGCCAAACACAATCGAGATTGAAGGCAGATCACGTCACAGAGAGACGGCGCATATTCGACGACGCTCGACGTTGTAAATTCAGGCCGCGAGAAGATTTGCGATCTTCTTCATTTCGATCGCCATAGTTCGCGTACGCTGATGGTCTCCCAGTGGGCACAGAAGATGCAGCCGTCACAAGATCCACCTCTCGGCTGTTCCTGAGTAATGTATGATGCTCACGTGTCACTGTTTAGAATGTCACGTTTGATGAGTTTCTGCACGCAAAAAAAGTGAAGGAGAGGTGCAGCAAGTCTATTTGGGTGTTCCTTGCAGTGTAGAAGATGTGAAAGGGTGTGTAGCAGCGTGAAAAGCTTTGTGAATGCGTCTGGGGTGTCGCATGTGTTGAACCGAGTGTAGCTCAGTTGGTAGAGCGATTGACTGTAGTGTTGTAGGCTGTGTATCAGTGTGCTCGGAAATCAATTGGTCGCTGGTTCGATTCCGGCCACTCGGAGTTATGCGGCACCCTTGAGTTGCCCGTTCGCGCACTTGATGGTCTCCTTTTTGGCGTTTGTTGTCGGTCATTTGCGTTCAGGAGGGCTATCCGTGCTTCATTTGAACAGAGCCCTCGCTAGACCACCTGTACAACCAAGTCCACATCGTTATCCTTGCGGTGCATTGGGGTTCAGGGGGTGGCATTTACTCGATTGTTCAGTGCTCTATTCCGTATTACACTCGTGTCGTCGAAGTTGGTATTGATGCAGGCCAAACACAATCGAGATTGAAGGCAGATCACGTCACAGAGAGACGGCGCATATTCGACGACGCTCGACGTTGTAAATTCAGGCCGCGAGGAGATTTGCGATCTTCTTCATTTCGATCGCCATAGTTCGCGTACGCTGATGGTCTCCCAGTGGGCACAGAAGATGCAGCCGTCACAAGATCCACCTCTCGGCTGTTCCTGAGTAATGTATGATGCTCACGTGTCACTGTTTAGAATGTCACGTTTGATGAGTTTCTGCACGCAAAAAAAGTGAAGGAGAGGTGCAGCAAGTCTATTTGGGTGTTCCTTGCAGTGTAGAAGATGTGAAAGGGTGTGTAGCAGCGTGAAAAGCTTTGTGAATGCGTCTGGGGTGTCGCATGTGTTGAACCGAGTGTAGCTCAGTTGGTAGAGCGATTGACTGTAGTGTTGTAGGCTGTGTATCAGTGTGCTCGGAAATCAATTGGTCGCTGGTTCGATTCCGGCCACTCGGAGTTATGCGGCACCCTTGAGTCGCCCGTTCGCGCACTTGATGGCCTCTTTTTTGGCGTTTGTTGTCGGTCATTTGCGTTCAAGAGAGCTATCCGTGCTTCATTTGAACAGAGCCCTCGCTAGACCACCTGTACAACCAAGTCCACATCGTTATCCTTGCGGTGTATTGGGTTTCAGGGGGGCATTTACTCGATTGTTCAGTGCTTTCTTCCGTATTACACTCGTGTCGTCGAAGTTGGTATTGATGCAGGCCAAACACAATCGAGATTGAAGGCAGATCACGTCACAGAGAGACGACGCATATTCGACGACGCTCGACGTTGTAAATTCAGGCCGCGAGGAGATTTGCGATCTTCTTCATTTCGATCGCCATAGTTCGCGTACGCTGATGGTCTCCCAGTGGGCACAGAAGATGCAGCCGTCACAAGATCCACCTCTCGGCTGTTCCTGAGTAATGTATGATGCTCACGTGTCACTGTTTAGAATGTCACGTTTGATGAGTTTTTGCACCCGAAAAAAGTGAAGGAGAGGTGCAGCAAGTCTATTTGGGTGTTCCTTGCAGTGTAGAAGATGTGAAAGGGTGTGTAGCAGCGTGAAAAGCTTTGTGAATGCGTCTGGGGTGTCGCATGTGTTGAACCGAGTGTAGCTCAGTTGGTAGAGCGATTGACTGTAGTGTTGTAGGCTGTGTATCAGTGTGCTCGGAAATCAATTGGTCGCTGGTTCGATTCCGGCCACTCGGAGTTATGCGGCACCCTTGAGTCGCCCGTTCGCGCACTTGATGGCCTCTTTTTTGGCGTTTGTTGTCGGTCATTTGCGTTCAAGAGAGCTATCCGTGCTTCATTTGAACAGAGCCCTCGCTAGACCACCTGTACAACCAAGTCCACATCGTTATCCTTGCGGTGCATTGGGGTTCAGGGGGGGGGCATTTACTCGATTGTTCAGTTCTCTCTTCCGTATTACACTCGTGTCGTCGAAGTTGGTATTGATGCAGGCCAAACACAATCGAGATTGAAGGCAGATCACGTCACAGAGAGACGACGCATATTCGACAACGCTCGACGTTGTAAATTCAGGCCGCGAGGAGATTTGCGATCTTCTTCATTTCGATCGCCATAGTTCGCGTACGCTGATGGTCTCCCAGTGGGCACAGAAGATGCAGCCGCCACAAGATCCACCTCTCGGCTGTTCCTGAGTAATGTATGATGCTCACGTGTCACTGTTTAGAATGTCACGTTTGATGAGTTTCTGCACGCAAAAAAAAAGTGAAGGAGAGGTGCAGCAAGTGTATTTGGGTGTTCCTTGCAGTGTAGAAGATGTGAAAGGGTGTGTAGCAGCGTGAAAAGATTGTGAATGCGTCTGGGGTGTCGAATGTGTTGAACCGAGTGTAGCTCAGTTGGTAGAGCGATTGACTGTAGTGTTGTAGGATGTGTATCAGTGTGCTCGGAAATCAATTGGTCGCTGGTTCGATTCCGGCCACTCGGAGTTATGCGGCACCCTTGAGTTGCCCGTTCGCGCACTTGATGGCCTCTTTTTTGGCGTTTGTTGTCGGTCATTTGCGTTCAAGAGAGCTATCCGTGCTTCATTTGAACAGAGCCCTCGCTAGACCACCTGTACAACCAAGTCCACATCGTTATCCTTGCGGTGTATTGGGGTTCAGGGGGGCATTAACTCGATTGTTCAGTGCTCTCTTCCGTATTACACTCGTGTCGTCGAAGTTGGTATTGACGCAGGCCAAACACAATCGAGATTGAAGGCAGATCACGTCACAGAGAGACGACGCATATTCGACAACGCTCGACGTTGTAAATTCAGGCCGCGAGGAGATTTGCGATCTTCTTCATTTCGATCGCCATAGTTCGCGTACGCTGATGGTCTCCCAGTGGGCACAGAAGATGCAGCCGTCACAAGATCCACCTCTCGGCTGTTCCTGAGTAATGTATGATGCTCACGTGTCACTGTTTAGAATGTCACGTTTGATGAGTTTCTGCACCCGAAAAAAAGTGAAGGAGAGGTGCAGCAAGTCTATTTGGGTGTTCCTTGCAGTGTAGAAGATGTGAAAGGGTGTGTAGCAGCGTGAAAAGCTTTGTGAATGCGTCTGGGGTGTCGCATGTGTTGAACCGAGTGTAGCTCAGTTGGTAGAGCGATTGACTGTAGTGTTGTAGGCTGTGTATCAGTGTGCTCGGAAATCAATTGGTCGCTGGTTCGATTCCGGCCACTCGGAGTTATGCGGCACCCTTGAGTTGCCCGTTCGCGCACTTGATGGCCTCTTTTTTGGCGTTTGTTGTCGGTCATTTGCGTTCAAGAGAGCTATCCGTGCTTCATTTGAACAGAGCCCTCGCTAGACCACCTGTACAACCAAGTCCACATCGTTATCCTTGCGGTGCATTGGGGTTCAGGGGGGGGGCATTTACTCGATTGTTCAGTTCTTTCTTCCGTATTACACTCGTGTCGTCGAAGTTGGTATTGATGCAGGCCAAACACAATCGAGATTGAAGGCAGATCACGTCACAGAGAGACGACGCATATTCGACGACGCTCGACGTTGTAAATTCAGGCCGCGAGGAGATTTGCGATCTTCTTCATTTCGATCGCCATAGTTCGCGTACGCTGATGGTCTCCCAGTGGGCACAGAAGATGCAGCCGTCACAAGATCCACCTCTCGGCTGTTCCTGAGTGATGTATGATGCTCACGTGTCACTGTTTAGAATGTCACGTTTGATGAGTTTCTGCACGCAAAAAAAGTGAAGGAGAGGTGCAGCAAGTCTATTTGGGTGTTCCTTGCAGTGTAGAAGATGTGAAAGGGTGTGTAGCAGCGTGAAAAGATTGTGAATGCGTCTGGGGTGTCGCATGTGTTGAACCGAGTGTAGCTCAGTTGGTAGAGCGATTGACTGTAGTGTTGTAGGCTGTGTATCAGTGTGCTCGGAAATCAATTGGTCGCTGGTTCGATTCCGGCCACTCGGAGTTATGTGGCACCCTTGAGTTGCCCGTTCGCGCACTTGATGGCCTCTTTTTTGGCGTTTGTTGTCGGTCATTTGCGTTCAAGAGAGCTATCCGTGCTTCATTTGAACAGAGCCCTCGCTAGACCACCTGTACAACCAAGTCCACATCGTTATCCTTGCGGTGTATTGGGTTTCAGGGGGGCATTTACTCGATTGTTCAGTGCTCTCTTCCGTATTACACTCGTGTCGTCGAAGTTGGTATTGACGCAGGCCAAACACAATCGAGATTGAAGGCAGATCACGTCACAGAGAGACGACGCATATTCGACAAGGCTCGACGTTGTAAATTCAGGCCGCGAGGAGATTTGCGATCTTCTTCATTTCGATCGCCATAGTTCGCGTACGCTGATGGTCTCCCAGTGGGCACAGAAGATGCAGCCGTCACAAGATCCACCTCTCGGCTGTTCCTGAGTAATGTATGATGCTCACGTGTCACTGTTTAGAATGTCACGTTTGATGAGTTTCTGCACCCGAAAAAAGTGAAGGAGAGATGCAGCAAGTAGATTTGGGTGTTCCTTGCAGCGTAGAAGATGTGAAAGGGTGTGTAGTAGCGTGAAAAGCTTTGTGAATGCGTCTGGGGTGTCGCATGTGTTGAACCGAGTGTAGCTCAGTTGGTAGATCGATTGACTGTAGTGTTGTAGGCTGTGTATCAGTGTGCTCGGAAATCAATTGGTCGCTGGTTCGATTTCGGCCACTCGGAGTTATGTGGCACCATTGAGTTGCCCGTTCGCGCACTTGATGGCCTCTTTTTTGGCGTTTGTTGTCGGTCATTTGCGTTCAAGAGAGCTATCCGTGCTTCATTTGAACAGAGCCCTCGCTAGACCACCTGTACAACCAAGTCCACATCGTTATCCTTGCGGTGTATTGGGGTTCAGGGGGGCATTAACTCGATTGTTCAGTGCTCTCTTCCGTATTACACTCGTGTCGTCGAAGTTGGTATTGACGCAGGACAAACACAATCGAGATTGAAGGCAGATCACGTCACAGAGAGACGACGCATATTCGACAACGCTCGACGTTGTAAATTCAGGCCGCGAGGAGATTTGCGATCTTCTTCATTTCGATCGCCATAGTTCGCGTACGCTGATGGTCTCCCAGTGGGCACAGAAGATGCAGCCGTCACAAGATCCACCTCTCGGCTGTTCCTGAGTAATGTATGATGCTCACGTGTCACTGTTTAGAATGTCACGTTTGATGAGTTTCTGCACCCAAAAAAAGTGAAGGAGAGGTGCAGCAAGTCTATTTGGGTGTTCCTTGCAGTGTAGAAGATGTGAAAGGGTGTGTAGTAGCGTGAAAAGCTTTGTGAATGCGTCTGGGGTGTCGCATGTGTTGAACCGAGTGTAGCTCAGTTGGTAGAGCGATTGACTGTAGTGTTGTAGGCTGTGTATCAGTGTGCTCGGAAATCAATTGGTCGCTGGTTCGATTCCGGCCACTCGGAGTTATGTGGCACCCTTGAGTTGCCCGTTCGCGCACTTGATGGCCTCTTTTTTGGCGTTTGTTGTCGGTCATTTGCGTTCAAGAGAGCTATCCGTGCTTCATTTGAACAGAGCCCTCACTAGACCACCTGTACAACCAAGTCCACATCGTTATCCTTGCGGTGTATTGGGGTTCAGGGGGGCATTTACTCGATTGTTCAGTGCTCTCTTCCGTATTACACTCGTGTCGTCGAAGTTGGTATTGACGCAGGCCAAACACAATCGAGATTGAAGGCAGATCACGTCACAGAGAGACGACGCATATTCGACAACGCTCGACGTTGTAAATTCAGGCCGCGAGGAGATTTGCGATCTTCTTCATTTCGATCGCCATAGTTCGCGTACGCTGATGGTCTCCCAGTGGGCACAGAAGATGCAGCCGTCACAAGATCCACCTCTCGGCTGTTCCTGAGTGATGTATGATGCTCACGTGTCACTGTTTAGAATGTCACGTTTGATGAGTTTCTGCACCCGAAAAAAAGTGAAGGAGAGGTGCAGCAAGTCTATTTGGGTGTTCCTTGCAGCGTAGAAGATGTGAAAGGGTGTGTAGTAGCGTGAAAAGCTTTGTGAATGCGTCTGGGGTGTCGCATGTGTTGAACCGAGTGTAGCTCAGTTGGTAGAGCGATTGACTGTAGTGTTGTAGGCTGTGTATCAGTGTGCTCGGAAATCAATTGGTCGCTGGTTCGATTCCGGCCACTCGGAGTTATGTGGCACCCTTGAGTTGCCCGTTCGCGCACTTGATGGCCTCTTTTTTGGCGTTTGTTGTCGGTCATTTGCGTTCAAGAGAGCTATCCGTGCTTCATTTGAACAGAGCCCTCACTAGATCACCCGTACAACCAAGTCCACATCGTTATCCTTGCGGTGTATTGGGGTTCAGGGGGGCATTTACTCGATTGTTCAGTGCTCTCTTCCGTATTACACTCGTGTCGTCGAAGTTGGTATTGACGCAGGCCAAACACAATCGAGATTGAAGGCAGATCACGTCACAGAGAGACGACGCATATTCGACAACGCTCGACGTTGTAAATTCAGGCCGCGAGGAGATTTGCGATCTTCTTCATTTCGATCGCCATAGTTCGCGTACGCTGATGGTCTCCCAGTGGGCACAGAAGATGCAGCCGTCACAAGATCCACCTCTCGGCTGTTCCTGAGTGATGTATGATGCTCACGTGTCACTGTTTAGAATGTCACGTTTGATGAGTTTCTGCACCCGAAAAAAGTGAAGGAGAGGTGCAGCAAGTCTATTTGGGTGTTCCTTGCAGCGTAGAAGATGTGAAAGGGTGTGTAGTAGCGTGAAAAGCTTTGTGAATGCGTCTGGGGTGTCGCATGTGTTGAACCGAGTGTAGCTCAGTTGGTAGAGCGATTGACTGTAGTGTTGTAGGCTGTGTATCAGTGTGCTCGGAAATCAATTGGTCGCTGGTTCGATTCCGGCCACTCGGAGTTATGTGGCACCCTTGAGTTGCCCGTTCGCGCACTTGATGGCCTCTTTTTTGGCGTTTGTTGTCGGTCATTTGCGTTCAAGAGAGCTATCCGTGCTTCATTTGAACAGAGCCCTCACTAGATGACCCGTACAACCAAGTCCACATCGTTATCCTTGCGGTGTATTGGGGTTCAGGGGGGCATTTACTCGATTGTTCAGTGCTCTCTTCCGTATTACACTCGTGTCGTCGAAGTTGGTATTGACGCAGGCCAAACACAATCGAGATTGAAGGCAGATCACGTCACAGAGAGACGACGCATATTCGACAACGCTCGACGTTGTAAATTCAGGCCGCGAGGAGATTTGCGATCTTCTTCATTTCGATCGCCATAGTTCGCGTACGCTGATGGTCTCCCAGTGGGCACAGAAGATGCAGCCGTCACAAGATCCACCTCTCGGCTGTTCCTGAGTGATGTATGATGCTCACGTGTCACTGTTTAGAATGTCACGTTTGATGAGTTTCTGCACCCGAAAAAAGTGAAGGAGAGGTGCAGCAAGTCTATTTGGGTGTTCCTTGCAGCGTAGAAGATGTGAAAGGGTGTGTAGTAGCGTGAAAAGCTTTGTGAATGCGTCTGGGGTGTCGCATGTGTTGAACCGAGTGTAGCTCAGTTGGTAGAGCGATTGACTGTAGTGTTGTAGGCTGTGTATCAGTGTGCTCGGAAATCAATTGGTCGCTGGTTCGATTCCGGCCACTCGGAGTTATGTGGCACCCTTGAGTTGCCCGTTCGCGCACTTGATGGCCTCTTTTTTGGCGTTTGTTGTCGGTCATTTGCGTTCAAGAGAGCTATCCGTGCTTCATTTGAACAGAGCCCTCACTAGATCACCCGTACAACCAAGTCCACATCGTTATCCTTGCGGTGTATTGGGGTTCAGGGGGGCATTTACTCGATTGTTCAGTGCTCTCTTCCGTATTACACTCGTGTCGTCGAAGTTGGTATTGACGCAGGCCAAACACAATCGAGATTGAAGGCAGATCACGTCACAGAGAGACGACGCATATTCGACAACGCTCGACGTTGTAAATTCAGGCCGCGAGGAGATTTGCGATCTTCTTCATTTCGATCGCCATAGTTCGCGTACGCTGATGGTCTCCCAGTGGGCACAGAAGATGCAGCCGTCACAAGATCCATCTCTCGGCTGTTCCTGAGTGATGTATGATGTTCACGTGTCACTGTTTAGAATGTCACGTTTGATGAGTTTCTGCACCCGAAAAAAGTGAAGGAGAGGTGCAGCAAGTCTATTTGGGTGTTCCTTGCAGCGTAGAAGATGTGAAAGGGTGTGTAGTAGCGTGAAAAGATTGTGAATGCGTCTGGGGTGTCGCATGTGTTGAACCGAGTGTAGCTCAGTTGGTAGAGCGATTGACTGTAGTGTTGTAGGCTGTGTATCAGTGTGCTCGGAAATCAATTGGTCGCTGGTTCGATTCCGGCCACTCGGAGTTATGTGGCACCCTTGAGTTGCCCGTTCGCGCACTTGATGGCCTCTTTTTTGGCGTTTATTGTCGGTCATTTGCGTTCAAGAGAGCTATCCGTGCTTCATTCGAACAGAGCCCTCACTAGATCACCCATACAACCAAGTCCACATCGTTATCCTTGCGGTGTATTGGGTTTCAGGGGGGCATTAACTCGATTGTTCAGTGCTCTCTTCCGTATTACACTCGTGTCGTCGAAGTTGGTATTGACGCAGGCCAAACACAATCGAGATTGAAGGCAGATCACGTCACAGAGAGACGACGCATATTCGACAACGCTCGACGTTGTAAATTCAGGCCGCGAGGAGATTTGCGATCTTCTTCATTTCGATCGCCATAGTTCGCGTACGCTGATGGTCTCCCAGTGGGCACAGAAGATGCAGCCGTCACAAGATCCATCTCTCGGCTGTTCCTGAGTGATGTATGATGTTCACGTGTCACTGTTTAGAATGTCACGTTTGATGAGTTTCTGCACCCGAAAAAAAGTGAAGGAGAGGTGCAGCAAGTCTATTTGGGTGTTCCTTGCAGCGTAGAAGATGTGAAAGGGTGTGTAGTAGCGTGAAAAGCTTTGTGAATGCGTCTGGGGTGTCGCATGTGTTGAACCGAGTGTAGCTCAGTTGGTAGAGCGATTGACTGTAGTGTTGTAGGCTGTGTATCAGTGTGCTCGGAAATCAATTGGTCGCTGGTTCGATTCCGGCCACTCGGAGTTATGTGGCACCCTTGAGTTGCCCGTTCGCGCACTTGATGGCCTCTTTTTTGGCGTTTGTTGTCGGTCATTTGCGTTCAAGAGAGCTATCCGTGCTTCATTTGAACAGAGCCCTCACTAGATCACCCGTACAACCAAGTCCACATCGTTATCCTTGCGGTGTATTGGGGTTCAGGGGGGCATTTACTCGATTGTTCAGTGCTCTCTTCCGTATTACACTCGTGTCGTCGAAGTTGGTATTGACGCAGGCCAAACACAATCGAGATTGAAGGCAGATCACGTCACAGAGAGACGACGCATATTCGACAACGCTCGACGTTGTAAATTCAGGCCGCGAGGAGATTTGCGATCTTCTTCATTTCGATCGCCATAGTTCGCGTACGCTGATGGTCTCCCAGTGGGCACAGAAGATGCAGCCGTCACAAGATCCATCTCTCGGCTGTTCCTGAGTGATGTATGATGTTCACGTGTCACTGTTTAGAATGTCACGTTTGATGAGTTTCTGCACGCAAAAAAAAGTGAAGGAGAGGTGCAGCAAGTCTATTTGGGTGTTCCTTGCAGCGTAGAAGATGTGAAAGGGTGTGTAGTAGCGTGAAAAGCTTTGTGAATGCGTCTGGGGTGTCGCATGTGTTGAACCGAGTGTAGCTCAGTTGGTAGAGCGATTGACTGTAGTGTTGTAGGCTGTGTATCAGTGTGCTCGGAAATCAATTGGTCGCTGGTTCGATTCCGGCCACTCGGAGTTATGTGGCACCCTTGAGTTGCCCGTTCGCGCACTTGATGGCCTCTTTTTTGGCGTTTGTTGTCGGTCATTTGCGTTCAAGAGAGCTATCCGTGCTTCATTTGAACAGAGCCCTCACTAGATCACCCGTACAACCAAGTCCACATCGTTATCCTTGCGGTGTATTGGGGTTCAGGGGGGCATTTACTCGATTGTTCAGTTCTCTCTTCCGTATTACACTCGTGTCGTCGAAGTTGGTATTGACGCAGGCCAAACACAATCGAGATTGAAGGCAGATCACGTCACAGAGAGACGACGCATATTCGACAACGCTCGACGTTGTAAATTCAGGCCGCGAGGAGATTTGCGATCTTCTTCATTTCGATCGCCATAGTTCGCGTACGCTGATGGTCTCCCAGTGGGCACAGAAGATGCAGCCGTCACAAGATCCATCTCTCGGCTGTTCCTGAGTGATGTATGATGTTCACGTGTCACTGTTTAGAATGTCACGTTTGATGAGTTTCTGCACGCAAAAAAAGTGAAGGAGAGGTGCAGCAAGTCTATTTGGGTGTTCCTTGCAGCGTAGAAGATGTGAAAGGGTGTGTAGTAGCGTGAAAAGCTTTGTGAATGCGTCTGGGGTGTCGCATGTGTTGAACCGAGTGTAGCTCAGTTGGTAGAGCGATTGACTGTAGTGTTGTAGGCTGTGTATCAGTGTGCTCGGAAATCAATTGGTCGCTGGTTCGATTCCGGCCACTCGGAGTTATGTGGCACCCTTGAGTTGCCCGTTCGCGCACTTGATGGCCTCTTTTTTGGCGTTTGTTGTCGGTCATTTGCGTTCAAGAGAGCTATCCGTGCTTCATTCGAACAGAGCCCTCACTAGATCACCCGTACAACCAAGTCCACATCGTTATCCTTGCGGTGTATTGGGGTTCAGGGGGGCATTTACTCGATTGTTCAGTGCTCTCTTCCGTATTACACTCGTGTCGTCGAAGTTGGTATTGACGCAGGCCAAACACAATCGAGATTGAAGGCAGATCACGTCACAGAGAGACGACGCATATTCGACAACGCTCGACGTTGTAAATTCAGGCCGCGAGGAGATTTGCGATCTTCTTCATTTCGATCGCCATAGTTCGCGTACGCTGATGGTCTCCCAGTGGGCACAGAAGATGCAGCCGTCACAAGATCCATCTCTCGGCTGTTCCTGAGTGATGTATGATGTTCACGTGTCACTGTTTAGAATGTCACGTTTGATGAGTTTCTGCACGCAAAAAAAGTGAAGGAGAGGTGCAGCAAGTCTATTTGGGTGTTCCTTGCAGCGTAGAAGATGTGAAAGGGTGTGTAGTAGCGTGAAAAGCTTTGTGAATGCGTCTGGGGTGTCGCATGTGTTGAACCGAGTGTAGCTCAGTTGGTAGAGCGATTGACTGTAGTGTTGTAGGCTGTGTATCAGTGTGCTCGGAAATCAATTGGTCGCTGGTTCGATTCCGGCCACTCGGAGTTATGTGGCACCCTTGAGTTGCCCGTTCGCGCACTTGATGGCCTCTTTTTTGGCGTTTGTTGTCGGTCATTTGCGTTCAAGAGAGCTATCCGTGCTTCATTTGAACAGAGCCCTCACTAGATCACCCGTACAACCAAGTCCACATCGTTATCCTTGCGGTGTATTGGGGTTCAGGGGGGCATTTACTCGATTGTTCAGTGCTCTCTTCCGTATTACACTCGTGTCGTCGAAGTTGGTATTGACGCAGGCCAAACACAATCGAGATTGAAGGCAGATCACGTCACAGAGAGACGACGCATATTCGACAACGCTCGACGTTGTAAATTCAGGCCGCGAGGAGATTTGCGATCTTCTTCATTTCGATCGCCATAGTTCGCGTACGCTGATGGTCTCCCAGTGGGCACAGAAGATGCAGCCGTCACAAGATCCATCTCTCGGCTGTTCCTGAGTGATGTATGATGTTCACGTGTCACTGTTTAGAATGTCACGTTTGATGAGTTTCTGCACGCGAAAAAAAGTGAAGGAGAGGTGCAGCAAGTCTATTTGGGTGTTCCTTGCAGCGTAGAAGATGTGAAAGGGTGTGTAGTAGCGTGAAAAGCTTTGTGAATGCGTCTGGGGTGTCGCATGTGTTGAACCGAGTGTAGCTCAGTTGGTAGAGCGATTGACTGTAGTGTTGTAGGCTGTGTATCAGTGTGCTCGGAAATCAATTGGTCGCTGGTTCGATTCCGGCCACTCGGAGTTATGTGGCACCCTTGAGTTGCCCGTTCGCGCACTTGATGGCCTCTTTTTTGGCGTTTGTTGTCGGTCATTTGCGTTCAAGAGAGCTATCCGTGCTTCATTTGAACAGAGCCCTCACTAGATCACCCGTACAACCAAGTCCACATCGTTATCCTTGCGGTGTATTGGGGTTCAGGGGGGCATTTACTCGATTGTTCAGTTCTCTCTTCCGTATTACACTCGTGTCGTCGAAGTTGGTATTGACGCAGGCCAAACACAATCGAGATTGAAGGCAGATCACGTCACAGAGAGACGACGCATATTCGACAACGCTCGACGTTGTAAATTCAGGCCGCGAGGAGATTTGCGATCTTCTTCATTTCGATCGCCATAGTTCGCGAACGCTGATGGTCTCCCAGTGGGCACAGAAGATGCAGCCGTCACAAGATCCATCTCTCGGCTGTTCCTGAGTGATGTATGATGTTCACGTGTCACTGTTTAGAATGTCACGTTTGATGAGTTTCTGCACGCAAAAAAGAGAAGGAGAGAGTGCAGCAAGTCTATTTGGGTGTTCCTTGCAGCGTAGAAGATGTGAAAGGGTGTAGTAGCGTGAAAAGCTTTGTGAATGCGTCTGGGGTGTCGCATGTGTTGAACCGAGTGTAGCTCAGTTGGTAGAGCGATTGACTGTAGTGTTGTAGGCTGTGTATCAGTGTGCTCGGAAATCAATTGGTCGCTGGTTCGATTCCGGCCACTCGGAGTTATGTGGCACCCTTGAGTTGCCCGTTCGCGCACTTGATGGCCTCTTTTTTGGCGTTTGTTGTCGGTCATTTGCGTTCAAGAGAGCTATCCGTGCTTCATTTGAACAGAGCCCTCACTAGATCACCCGTACAACCAAGTCCACATCGTTATCCTTGCGGTGTATTGGGGTTCAGGGGGGCATTTACTCGATTGTTCAGTGCTCTCTTCCGTATTACACTCGTGTCGTCGAAGTTGGTATTGACGCAGGCCAAACACAATCGAGATTGAAGGCAGATCACGTCACAGAGAGACGACGCATATTCGACAACGCTCGACGTTGTAAATTCAGGCCGCGAGGAGATTTGCGATCTTCTTCATTTCGATCGCCATAGTTCGCGAACGCTGATGGTCTCCCAGTGGGCACAGAAGATGCAGCCGTCACAAGATCCATCTCTCGGCTGTTCCTGAGTGATGTATGATGTTCACGTGTCACTGTTTGGAATGTCACGTTTGATGAGTTTTTGCACGCAAAAAAAAGTGAAGGAGAGGTGCAACAAGTCTATTAGGGTGTTCCTCGCAGCGTGGAAGATGTGAAAGGGTGTTAGCGTGAAAAGCTTTGTGAATGCGTCTGGGGTGTCGCACGTGTTGAGACGATTTGTTTCAGTTGGTAGAGCGATTGACTGTAGTGTTGTAGGCTGTGTATCAGTGTGCTCGGAAATCAATTGGTCGCTGGTTCGATTCCGGCCACTCGGAGTTATGTGGCACCCTTGAGTTGCCCGTTCGCGCACTTGATGGCCTCTTTTTTGGCGTTTGTTGTCGGTCATTTGCGTTCAAGAGAGCTATCCGTGCTTCATTTGAACAGAGCCCTCACTAGATCACCCGTACAACCAAGTCCACATCGTTATCCTTGCGGTGTATTGGGGTTCAGGGGGGCATTTACTCGATTGTTCAGTTCTCTCTTCCGTATTACACTCGTGTCGTCGAAGTTGGTATTGACGCAGGCCAAACACAATCGAGATTGAAGGCAGATCACGTCACAGAGAGACGACGCATATTCGACAACGCTCGACGTTGTAAATTCAGGCCGCGAGGAGATTTGCGATCTTCTTCATTTCGATCGCCATAGTTCGCGAACGCTGATGGTCTCCCAGTGGGCACAGAAGATGCAGCCGTCACAAGATCCATCTCTCGGTTGTTCCTGAGTGATGTATGATGTTCACGTGTCACTGTTTGGAATGTCACGTTTGATGAGTTTCTGCACGCAAAAAAAGAGAAGGAGAGATGCAGCAAGTCTATTTGGGTGTTCCTTGCAGCGTAGAAGATGTGAAAGGGTGTTAGCGTGAAAAGCTTTGTGAATGCGTCTGGGGTGTCGCATGTGTTGAACCGAGTGTAGCTCAGTTGGTAGAGCGATTGACTGTAGTGTTGTAGGCTGTGTATCAGTGTGCTCGGAAATCAATTGGTCGCTGGTTCGATTCTGGCCACTCGGAGTTATGTGGCACCCTTGAGTTGCCCGTTCGCGCACTCGAGGGCCTCTTTTTTGGCGTTTGTTGTCGGTCATTTGCGTTCAAGAGAGCTATCCGTGCTTCATTTGAACAGAGCCCTCACTAGATCACCCGTACAACCAAGTCCACATCGTTATCCTTGCGGTGTATTGAAGTTCAGGGGGGGCATTTACTCGATTGTTCAGCGCTCTCTTCCGTATTACACTCGTGTCGTCGAAGTTGCTATTGACGCAGGCCAAACACAATCGAGATTGAAGGCAGATCACGTCACAGAGAGACGACGCATATTCGACAACGCTCGACGTTGTAAATTCAGGCCGCGAGGAGATTTGCGATCTTCTTCATTTCGATCGCCATAGTTCGCGAACGCTGATGGTCTCCCAGTGGGCACAGAAGATGCAGCCGTCACAAGATCCATCTCTCGGTTGTTCCTGAGTGATGTATGATGTTCACGTGTCACTGTTTGGAATGTCACGTTTGATGAGTTTCTGCACGCAAAAAAAGAGAAGGAGAGATGCAGCAAGTCTATTTGGGTGTTCCTTGCAGCGTAGAAGATGTGAAAGGGTGTTAGCGTGAAAAGCTTTGTGAATGCGTCTGGGGTGTTGCATGTGTTGAACCGAGTGTAGCTCAGTTGGTAGAGCGATTGTCTGTAGTGTTGTAGGCTGTGTATCAGTGTGCTCGGAAATAAATTGGTCGCTGGTTCGATTCTGGCCACTCGGAGTTATGTGGCACCCTTGAGTTGCCCGTTCGCGCACTTGATGGCCTCTTTTTTGGCGTTTGTTGTCGGTCATTTGCGTTCAAGAGAGCTATCCGTGCTTCATTCGAACAGAGCCCTCACTAGATCACCCGTACAACCAAGTCCACATCGTTATCCTTGCGGTGTATTGGGGTTCAGGGGGGCATTTACTCGATTGTTCAGTTCTCTCTTCCGTATTACACTCGTGTCGTCGAAGTTGGTATTGACGCAGGCCAAACACAATCGAGATTGAAGGCAGATCACGTCACAGAGAGACGACGCATATTCGACAACGCTCGACGTTGTAAATTCAGGCCGCGAGGAGATTTGCGATCTTCTTCATTTCGATCGCCATAGTTCGCGAACGCTGATGGTCTCCCAGTGGGCACAGAAGATGCAGCCGTCACAAGATCCACCTCTCGGTTGTTCCTGAGTGATGTATGATGCTCACGTGTCACTGTTTGGAATGTCACGTTTGATGAGTTTCTGCACGCAAAAAAAGAGAAGGAGAGATGCAGCAAGTCTATTTGGGTGTTCCTTGCAGCGTAGAAGATGTGAAAGGGTGTTAGCGTGAAAAGCTTTGTGAATGCGTCTGGGGTGTCGCATGTGTTGAACCGAGTGTAGCTCAGTTGGTAGAGCGATTGACTGTAGTGTTGTAGGCTGTGTATCAGTGTGCTCGGAAATCAATTGGTCGCTGGTTCGATTCCGGCCACTCGGAGTTATGTGGCACCCTTGAGTTGCCCGTTCGCGCACTTGATGGCCTCTTTTTTGGCGTTTGTTGTCGGTCATTTGCGTTCAAGAGAGCTATCCGTGCTTCATTTGAACAGAGCCCTCACTAGATCACCCGTACAACCAAGTCCACATCGTTATCCTTGCGGTGTATTGGGGTTCAGGGGGGCATTTACTCGATTGTTCAGTTCTCTCTTCCGTATTACACTCGTGTCGTCGAAGTTGGTATTGACGCAGGCCAAACACAATCGAGATTGAAGGCAGATCACGTCACAGAGAGACGACGCATATTCGACAACGCTCGACGTTGTAAATTCAGGCCGCGAGGAGATTTGCGATCTTCTTCATTTCGATCGCCATAGTTCGCGAACGCTGATGGTCTCCCAGTGGGCACAGAAGATGCAGCCGTCACAAGATCCATCTCTCGGCTGTTCCTGAGTGATGTATGATGTTCACGTGTCACTGTTTGGAATGTCACGTTTGATGAGTTTCTGCACGCAAAAAAAGTGAAGGAGAGGTGCAGCAAGTCTATTAGGGTGTTCCTTGCAGCGTAGAAGATGTGAAAGGGTGTGTAGTAGCGTGAAAAGCTTTGTGAATGCGTCTGGGGTGTCGCATGTGTTGAACCGAGTGTAGCTCAGTTGGTAGAGCGATTGACTGTAGTGTTGTAGGCTGTGTATCAGTGTGCTCGGAAATCAATTGGTCGCTGGTTCGATTCCGGCCACTCGGAGTTATGTGGCACCCTTGAGTTGCCCGTTCGCGCACTTGATGGCCTCTTTTTTGGCGTTTGTTGTCGGTCATTTGCGTTCAAGAGAGCTATCCGTGCTTCATTTGAACAGAGCCCTCACTAGATCACCCGGACAACCAAGTCTACATCGTTATCCTTGCGGTGTATTGGGGTTCAGGGGGGGCATTTACTCGATTGTTCAGTTCTCTCTTTCGTATTACACTCGTGTCGTCGAAGTTGGTATTGACGTAGGCCAAACACAATCGAGATTGAAGGCAGATCACGTCACAGAGAGACGACGCATATTCGACAACGCTCGACGTTGTAAATTCAGGCCGCGAGGAGATTTGCGATCTTCTTCATTTCGATCGCCATAGTTCGCGAACGCTGATGGTCTCCCAGTGGGCACAGAAGATGCAGCCGTCACAAGATCCATCTCTCGGCTGTTCCTGAGTGATGTATGATGTTCACGTGTCACTGTTTAGAATGTCACGTTTGATGAGTTTCTGCACGCAAAAAAAAGTGAAGGAGAGGTGCAGCAAGTCTATTAGGGTGTTCCTCGCAGCGTAGAAGATGTGAAAGGGTGTGTAGTAGCGTGAAAAGCTTTGTGAATGCGTCTGGGGTGTCGCATGTGTTGAACCGAGTGTAGCTCAGTTGGTAGAGCGATTGACTGTAGTGTTGTAGGCTGTGTATCAGTGTGCTCGGAAATCAATTGGTCGCTGGTTCGATTCCGGCCACTCGGAGTTATGTGGCACCCTTGAGTTGCCCGTTCGCGCACTTGATGGCCTCTTTTTTGGCGTTTGTTGTCGGTCATTTGCGTTCAAGAGAGCTATCCGTGCTTCATTTGAACAGAGCCCTCACTAGATCACCCGTACAACCAAGTCCACATCGTTATCCTTGCGGTGTATTGGGGTTCAGGGGGGCATTTACTCGATTGTTCAGTTCTCTCTTCCGTATTACACTCGTGTCGTCGAAGTTGGTATTGACGTAGGCCAAACACAATCGAGATTGAAGGCAGATCACGTCACAGAGAGACGACGCATATTCGACAACGCTCGACGTTGTAAATTCAGGCCGCGAGGAGATTTGCGATCTTCTTCATTTCGATCGCCATAGTTCGCGAACGCTGATGGTCTCCCAGTGGGCACAGAAGATGCAGCCGTCACAAGATCCATCTCTCGGCTGTTCCTGAGTGATGTATGATGTTCACGTGTCACTGTTTGGAATGTCACGTTTGATGAGTTTCTGCACGCAAAAAAAGAGAAGGAGAGATGCAGCAAGTCTATTTGGGTGTTCCTTGCAGCGTAGAAGATGTGAAAGGGTGTGTAGTAGCGTGAAAAGCTTTGTGAATGCGTCTGGGGTGTCGCATGTGTTGAACCGAGTGTAGCTCAGTTGGTAGAGCGATTGACTGTAGTGTTGTAGGCTGTGTATCAGTGTGCTCGGAAATCAATTGGTCGCTGGTTCGATTCCGGCCACTCGGAGTTATGTGGCACCCTTGAGTTGCCCGTTCGCGCACTTGATGGCCTCTTTTTTGGCGTTTGTTGTCGGTCATTTGCGTTCAAGAGAGCTATCCGTGCTTCATTCGAACAGAGCCCTCACTAGATCACCCGTACAACCAAGTCCACATCGTTATCCTTGCGGTGTATTGGGGTTCAGGGGGGCATTTACTCGATTGTTCAGTTCTCTCTTCCGTATTACACTCGTGTCGTCGAAGTTGGTATTGACGCAGGCCAAACACAATCGAGATTGAAGGCAGATCACGTCACAGAGAGACGACGCATATTCGACAACGCTCGACGTTGTAAATTCAGGCCGCGAGGAGATTTGCGATCTTCTTCATTTCGATCGCCATAGTTCGCGAACGCTGATGGTCTCCCAGTGGGCACAGAAGATGCAGCCGTCACAAGATCCATCTCTCGGCTGTTCCTGAGTGATGTATGATGTTCACGTGTCACTGTTTAGAATGTCACGTTTGATGAGTTTCTGCACGCAAAAAAAGTGAAGGAGAGGTGCAGCAAGTCTATTTGGGTGTTCCTTGCAGCGTAGAAGATGTGAAAGGGTGTGTAGTAGCGTGAAAAGATTTGTGAATGCGTCTGGGGTGTCGCATGTGTTGAACCGAGTGTAGCTCAGTTGGTAGAGCGATTGACTGTAGTGTTGTAGGCTGTGTATCAGTGTGCTCGGAAATCAATTGGTCGCTGGTTCGATTCCGGCCACTCGGAGTTATGTGGCACCCTTGAGTTGCCCGTTCGCGCACTTGATGGCCTCTTTTTTGGCGTTTGTTGTCGGTCATTTGCGTTCAAGAGAGCTATCCGTGCTTCATTTGAACAGAGCCCTCACTAGATCACCCGTACAACCAAGTCCACATCGTTATCCTTGCGGTGTATTGGGGTTCAGGGGGGCATTTACTCGATTGTTCAGTGCTCTCTTCCGTATTACACTCGTGTCGTCGAAGTTGGTATTGACGCAGGCCAAACACAATCGAGATTGAAGGCAGATCACGTCACAGAGAGACGACGCATATTCGACAACGCTCGACGTTGTAAATTCAGGCCGCGAGGAGATTTGCGATCTTCTTCATTTCGATCGCCATAGTTCGCGAACGCTGATGGTCTCCCAGTGGGCACAGAAGATGCAGCCGTCACAAGATCCATCTCTCGGCTGTTCCTGAGTGATGTATGATGTTCACGTGTCACTGTTTAGAATGTCACGTTTGATGAGTTTCTGCACGCAAAAAAAGAGAAGGAGAGGTGCAGCAAGTCTATTTGGGTGTTCCTTGCAGCGTAGAAGATGTGAAAGGGTGTGTAGTAGCGTGAAAAGCTTTGTGAATGCGTCTGGGGTGTCGCATGTGTTGAACCGAGTGTAGCTCAGTTGGTAGAGCGATTGACTGTAGTGTTGTAGGCTGTGTATCAGTGTGCTCGGAAATCAATTGGTCGCTGGTTCGATTCCGGCCACTCGGAGTTATGTGGCACCCTTGAGTTGCCCGTTCGCGCACTTGATGGCCTCTTTTTTGGCGTTTGTTGTCGGTCATTTGCGTTCAAGAGAGCTATCCGTGCTTCATTTGAACAGAGCCCTCACTAGATCACCCGTACAACCAAGTCCACATCGTTATCCTTGCGGTGTATTGAAGTTCAGGGGGGGGCATTTACTCGATTGTTCAGTGCTCTCTTCCGTATTACACTCGTGTCGTCGAAGTTGCTATTGACGCAGGCCAAACACAATCGAGATTGAAGGCAGATCACGTCACAGAGAGACGACGCATATTCGACAACGCTCGACGTTGTAAATTCAGGCCGCGAGGAGATTTGCGATCTTCTTCATTTCGATCGCCATAGTTCGCGAACGCTGATGGTCTCCCAGTGGGCACAGAAGATGCAGCCGTCACAAGATCCATCTCTCGGCTGTTCCTGAGTGATGTATGATGTTCACGTGTCACTGTTTAGAATGTCACGTTTGATGAGTTTCTGCACGCAAAAAAAGAGAAGGAGAGGTGCGGCAAGTCTATTAGGGTGTTCCTCGCAGCGTAGAAGATGTGAAAGGGTGTGTAGTAGCGTGAAAAGCTTTGTGAATGCGTCTGGGGTGTCGCATGTGTTGAGCCGAGTGTAGCTCAGTTGGTAGAGCGATTGACTGTAGTGTTGTAGGCTGTGTATCAGTGTGCTCGGAAATCAATTGGTCGCTGGTTCGATTCCGGCCACTCGGAGTTATGTGGCACCCTTGAGTTGCCCGTTCGCGCACTTGATGGCCTCTTTTTTGGCGTTTGTTGTCGGTCATTTGCGTTCAAGAGAGCTATCCGTGCTTCATTTGAACAGAGCCCTCACTAGATCACCCGTACAACCAAGTCCACATCGTTATCCTTGCGGTGTATTGGGGTTCAGGGGGGCATTTACTCGATTGTTCAGTGCTCTCTTCCGTATTACACTCGTGTCGTCGAAGTTGGTATTGACGCAGGCCAAACACAATCGAGATTGAAGGCAGATCACGTCACAGAGAGACGACGCATATTCGACAACGCTCGACGTTGTAAATTCAGGCCGCGAGGAGATTTGCGATCTTCTTCATTTCGATCGCCATAGTTCGCGAACGCTGATGGTCTCCCAGTGGGCACAGAAGATGCAGCCGTCACAAGATCCATCTCTCGGCTGTTCCTGAGTGATGTATGATGTTCACGTGTCACTGTTTGGAATGTCACGTTTGATGAGTTTTTGCACCCGAAAAAAGTGAAGGAGAGGTGCAGCAAGTCTATTTGGGTGTTCCTTGCAGCGTAGAAGATGTGAAAGGGTGTGTAGTAGCGTGAAAAGCTTTGTGAATGCGTCTGGGGTGTCGCATGTGTCAAACCGAGTGTAGCTCAGTTGGTAGAGCGATTGACTGTAGTGTTGTAGGCTGTGTATCAGTGTGCTTGGAAATCAATTAATCGCTGGTTCTATCCGGCCACTCGGAGTTATGTGGCACCCTTGAGTTGCCCGTTCGCGCACTTGATGGCCTCTTTTTTGGCGTTTGTTGTCGGTCATTTGCGTTCAAGAGAGCTATGTGTGCTTCATTCGAACAGAGCCCTCACTAGATCACCCGTACAACCAAGTCCACATCGTTATCCTTGCGGTGTATTGGGGTTCAGGGGGGCATTTACTCGATTGTTCAGTGCTCTCTTCCGTATTACACTCGTGTCGTCGAAGTTGGTATTGACGCAGGCCAAACACAATCGAGATTGAAGGCAGATCACGTCACAGAGAGACGACGCATATTCGACAACGCTCGACGTTGTAAATTCAGGCCGCGAGGAGATTTGCGATCTTCTTCATTTCGATCGCCATAGTTCGCGAACGCTGATGGTCTCCCAGTGGGCACAGAAGATGCAGCCGTCACAAGATCCATCTCTCGGCTGTTCCTGAGTGATGTATGATGTTCACGTGTCACTGTTTGGAATGTCACGTTTGATGAGTTTTTGCACGCAAAAAAAAGTGAAGGAGAGGTGCAACAAGTCTATTAGGGTGTTCCTCGCAGCGTAGAAGATGTGAAAGGGTGTGTAGTAGCGTGAAAAGCTTTGTGAATGCGTCTGGGGTGTCGCATGTGTTGAGCCGAGTGTAGCTCAGTTGGTAGAGCGATTGACTGTAGTGTTGTAGGCTGTGTATCAGTGTGCTTGGAAATCAATTAATCGCTGGTTCTATCCGGCCACTCGGAGTTATGTGGCACCCTTGAGTTGCCCGTTCGCGCACTTGATGGCCTCTTTTTTGGCGTTTGTTGTCGGTCATTTGCGTTCAAGAGAGCTATGTGTGCTTCATTCGAACAGAGCCCTCACTAGATCACCCGGACAACCAAGTCTACATCGTTATCCTTGCGGTGTATTGGGGTTCAGGGGGGCATTTACTCGATTGTTCAGTGCTCTCTTTCGTATTACACTCGTGTCGTCGAAGTTGGTATTGACGCAGGCCAAACACAATCGAGATTGAAGGCAGATCACGTCACAGAGAGACGACGCATATTCGACAACGCTCGACGTTGTAAATTCAGGCCGCGAGGAGATTTGCGATCTTCTTCATTTCGATCGCCATAGTTCGCGAACGCTGATGGTCTCCCAGTGGGCACAGAAGATGCAGCCGTCACAAGATCCATCTCTCGGCTGTTCCTGAGTGATGTATGATGTTCACGTGTCACTGTTTAGAATGTCACGTTTGATGAGTTTCTGCACGCAAAAAAAAAGTGAAGGAGAGGTGCAGCAAGTCTATTTGGGTGTTCCTTGCAGCGTAGAAGATGTGAAAGGGTGTTAGCGTGAAAAGCTTTGTGAATGCGTCTGGGGTGTCGCATGTGTTGAACCGAGTGTAGCTCAGTTGGTAGAGCGATTGACTGTAGTGTTGTAGGCTGTGTATCAGTGTGCTCGGAAATCAATTGGTCGCTGGTTCGATTCCGGCCACTCGGAGTTATGTGGCACCCTTGAGTTGCCCGTTCGCGCACTTGATGGCCTCTTTTTTGGCGTTTGTTGTCGGTCATTTGCGTTCAAGAGAGCTATCCGTGCTTCATTTGAACAGAGCCCTCACTAGATCACCCGTACAACCAAGTCCACATCGTTATCCTTGCGGTGTATTGGGGTTCAGGGGGGCATTTACTCGATTGTTCAGTTCTCTCTTCCGTATTACACTCGTGTCGTCGAAGTTGGTATTGACGCAGGCCAAACACAATCGAGATTGAAGGCAGATCACGTCACAGAGAGACGACGCATATTCGACAACGCTCGACGTTGTAAATTCAGGCCGCGAGGAGATTTGCGATCTTCTTCATTTCGATCGCCATAGTTCGCGAACGCTGATGGTCTCCCAGTGGGCACAGAAGATGCAGCCGTCACAAGATCCATCTCTCGGTTGTTCCTGAGTGATGTATGATGTTCACGTGTCACTGTTTGGAATGTCACGTTTGATGAGTTTCTGCACGCAAAAAAAAGAGAAGGAGAGATGCAGCAAGTCTATTTGGGTGTTCCTTGCAGCGTAGAAGATGTGAAAGGGTGTTAGCGTGAAAAGCTTTGTGAATGCGTCTGGGGTGTCGCATGTGTTGAACCGAGTGTAGCTCAGTTGGTAGAGCGATTGTCTGTAGTGTTGTAGGCTGTGTATCAGTGTGCTCGGAAATCAATTGGTCGCTGGTTCGATTCTGGCCACTCGGAGTTATGTGGCACCCTTGAGTTGCCCGTTCGCGCACTTGATGGCCTCTTTTTTGGCGTTTGTTGTCGGTCATTTGCGTTCAAGAGAGCTATCCGTGCTTCATTCGAACAGAGCCCTCACTAGATCACCCGTACAACCAAGTCCACATCGTTATCCTTGCGGTGTATTGGGGTTCAGGGGGGCATTTACTCGATTGTTCAGTGCTCTCTTCCGTATTACACTCGTGTCGTCGAAGTTGGTATTGACGCAGGCCAAACACAATCGAGATTGAAGGCAGATCACGTCACAGAGAGACGACGCATATTCGACGACGCTCGACGTTGTAAATTCAGGCCGCGAGGAGATTTGCGATCTTCTTCATTTCGATCGCCATAGTTCGCGAACGCTGATGGTCTCCCAGTGGGCACAGAAGATGCAGCCGTCACAAGATCCATCTCTCGGCTGTTCCTGAGTGATGTATGATGCTCACGTGTCACTGTTTAGAATGTCACGTTTGATGAGTTTCTGCACGCAAAAAAAGAGAAGGAGAGGTGCAGCAAGTCTATTTGGGTGTTCCTTGCAGCGTAGAAGATGTGAAAGGGTGTTAGCGTGAAAAGCTTTGTGAATGCGTCTGGGGTGTCGCATGTGTTGAGCCGAGTGTAGCTCAGTTGGTAGAGCGATTGTCTGTAGTGTTGTAGGCTGTGTATTAGTGTGCTCGGAAATCAATTGGTCGCTGGTTCGATTCTGGCCACTCGGAGTTATGTGGCACCCTTGAGTTGCCCGTTCGCGCACTTGATGGCCTCTTTTTTGGCGTTTGTTGTCGGTCATTTGCGTTCAAGAGAGCTATCCGTGCTTCATTTGAACAGAGCCCTCACTAGATCACCCGTACAACCAAGTCCACATCGTTATCCTTGCGGTGTATTGAAGTTCGGGGGGGCATTTACTCGATTGTTCAGTTCTCTCTTCCGTATTACACTCGTGTCGTCGAAGTTGGAATTGACGCAGGCCAAACACAATCGAGATTGAAGGCAGATCACGTCACAGAGAGACGACGCATATTCGACGACGCTCGACGTTGTAAATTCAGGCCGCGAGGAGATTTGCGATCTTCTTCATTTCGATCGCCATAGTTCGCGAACGCTGATGGTCTCCCAGTGGGCACAGAAGATGCAGCCGTCACAAGATCCATCTCTCGGCTGTTCCTGAGCGATGTATGATGTTCACGTGTCACTGTTTGGAATGTCACGTTTGATGAGTTTTTGCACGCAAAAAAAGTGAAAGAGAGGTGCAACAAGTCTATTAGGGTGTTCCTTGCAGTGTAGAAGATGTGAAAGGGTGTTAGCGTGAAAAGCTTTGTGAATGCGTCTGGGGTGTCGCATGTGTTGAGCCGAGTGTAGCTCAGTTGGTAGAGCGATTGACTGTAGTGTTGTAGGCTGTGTATCAGTGTGCTTGGAAATCAATTGGTCGCTGGTTCGATTCCGGCCACTCGGAGTTATGTGGCACCCTTGAGTTGCCCGTTCGCACACTTGATGGCCTCTTTTTTGGCGTTTGTTGTCGGTCATTTGCGTTCAAGAGAGCTATCCGTGCTTCATTCGAACAGAGCCCTCACTAGATCACCCGTACAACCAAGTCCACATCGTTATCCTTGCGGTGTATTGGGGTTCAGGGGGGCATTTACTCGATTGTTCAGTTCTCTCTTCCGTATTACACTCGTGTCGTCGAAGTTGGTATTGACGCAGGCCAAACACAATCGAGATTGAAGGCAGATCACGTCACAGAGAGACGACGCATATTCGACAACGCTCGACGTTGTAAATTCAGGCCGCGAGGAGATTTGCGATCTTCTTCATTTCGATCGCCATAGTTCGCGAACGCTGATGGTCTCCCAGTGGGCACAGAAGATGCAGCCGTCACAAGATCCATCTCTCGGCTGTTCCTGAGTGATGTATGATGTTCACGTGTCACTGTTTAGAATGTCACGTTTGATGAGTTTCTGCACGCAAAAAAGATGAAGGAGAGGTGCAGCAAGTCTATTTGGGTGTTCCTTGCAGCGTAGAAGATGTGAAAGGGTGTGTAGTAGCGTGAAAAGCTTTGTGAATGCGTCTGGGGTGTCGCATGTGTTGAACCGAGTGTAGCTCAGTTGGTAGAGCGATTGACTGTAGTGTTGTAGGCTGTGTATCAGTGTGCTTGGAAATCAATTGGTCGCTGGTTCGATTCCGGCCACTCGGAGTTATGTGGCACCCTTGAGTTGCCCGTTCGCACACTTGATGGCCTCTTTTTTGGCGTTTGTTGTCGGTCATTTGCGTTCAAGAGAGAGCTATCCGTGCTTCATTTGAACAGAGCCCTCACTAGATCACCCGTACAACCAAGTCCACATCGTTATCCTTGCGGTGTATTGGGGTTCAGGGGGGCATTTACTCGATTGTTCAGTTCTCTCTTCCGTATTACACTCGTGTCGTCGAAGTTGGTATTGACGCAGGCCAAACACAATCGAGATTGAAGGCAGATCACGTCACAGAGAGACGACGCATATTCGACAACGCTCGACGTTGTAAATTCAGGCCGCGAGGAGATTTGCGATCTTCTTCATTTCGATCGCCATAGTTCGCGTACGCTGATGGTCTCCCAGTGGGCACAGAAGATGCAGCCGTCACAAGATCCACCTCTCGGCTGTTCCTGAGTGATGTATGATGCTCACGTGTCACTGTTTGGAATGTCACGTTTGATGAGTTTCTGCACGCAAAAAAAGTGAAGGAGAGGTGCAGCAAGTCTATTTGGGTGTTCCTTGCAGCGTAGAAGATGTGAAAGGGTGTGTAGTAGCGTGAAAAGCTTTGTGAATGCGTCTGGGGGTGTCGCATGTGTTGAACCGAGTGTAGCTCAGTTGGTAGAGCGATTGACTGTAGTGTTGTAGGCTGTGTATCAGTGTGCTCGGAAATCAATTGGTCGCTGGTTCGATTCCGGCCACTCGGAGTTATGTGGCACCCTTGAGTTGCCCGTTCGCGCACTTGATGGCCTCTTTTTTGGCGTTTGTTGTCGGTCATTTGCGTTCAAGAGAGCTATCCGTGCTTCATTTGAACAGAGCCCTCACTAGATCACCCGGACAACCAAGTCTACATCGTTATCCTTGCGGTGTATTGGGGTTCAGGGGGGCATTTACTCGATTGTTCAGTGCTCTCTTCCGTATTACACTCGTGTCGTCGAAGTTGGTATTGATGCAGGCCAAACACAATCGAGATTGAAGGCAGATCACGTCACAGAGAGACGACGCATATTCGACAACGCTCGACGTTGTAAATTCAGGCCGCGAGGAGATTTGCGATCTTCTTCATTTCGATCGCCATAGTTCGCGAACGCTGATGGTCTCCCAGTGGGCACAGAAGATGCAGCCGTCACAAGATCCACCTCTCGGCTGTTCCTGAGTAAGGTATGATGCTCACGTGTCACTGTTTGGAATGTCACGTTTGATGAGTTTCTGCACGCAAAAAAAGTGAAGGAGAGGTGCAGCAAGTCTATTTGGGTGTTCCTTGCAGCGTAGAAGATGTGAAAGGGTGTTAGCGTGAAAAGCTTTGTGAATGCGTCTGGGGTGTCGCATGTGTTGAACCGAGTGTAGCTCAGTTGGTAGAGCGATTGACTGTAGTGTTGTAGGCTGTGTATCAGTGTGCTCGGAAATCAATTGGTCGCTGGTTCGATTCCGGCCACTCGGAGTTATGTGGCACCCTTTGAGTTGCCCGTTCGCGCACTTGATGGCCTCTTTTTTGGCGTTTGTTGTCGGTCATTTGCGTTCAAGAGAGCTATCCGTGCTTCATTTGAACAGAGCCCTCACTAGATCACCCGTACAACCAAGTCCACATCGTTATCCTTGCGGTGTATTGGGGTTCAGGGGGGCATTTACTCGATTGTTCAGTGCTCTCTTCCGTATTACACTCGTGTCGTCGAAGTTGGTATTGACGCAGGCCAAACACAATCGAGATTGAAGGCAGATCACGTCACAGAGAGACGACGCATATTCGACAACGCTCGACGTTGTAAATTCAGGCCGCGAGGAGATTTGCGATCTTCTTCATTTCGATCGCCATAGTTCGCGAACGCTGATGGTCTCCCCAGTGGGCACAGAAGATGCAGCCGTCACAAGATCCACCTCTCGGCTGTTCCTGAGTGATGTATGATGCTCACGTGTCACTGTTTAGAATGTCACGTTTGATGAGTTTCTGCACGCAAAAAAGTGAAGGAGAGGTGCAGCAAGTCTATTTGGGTGTTCCTTGCAGCGTAGAAGATGTGAAAGGGTGTGTAGTAGCGTGAAAAGCTTTGTGAATGCGTCTGGGGTGTCGCATGTGTTGAACCGAGTGTAGCTCAGTTGGTAGAGCGATTGACTGTAGTGTTGTAGGCTGTGTATCAGTGTGCTCGGAAATCAATTGGTCGCTGGTTCGATTCCGGCCACTCGGAGTTATGTGGCACCCTTGAGTTGCCCGTTCGCGCACTTGATGGCCTCTTTTTTGGCGTTTGTTGTCGGTCATTTGCGTTCAAGAGAGCTATCCGTGCTTCATTCGAACAGAGCCCTCACTAGACCACCCGTACAACCAAGTCCACATCGTTATCCTTGCGGTGTATTGAAGTTCAGGGGGGCATTTACTCGATTGTTCAGTTCTCTCTTCCGTATTACACTCGTGTCGTCGAAGTTGGTATTGACGCAGGCCAAACACAATCGAGATTGAAGGCAGATCACGTCACAGAGAGACGACGCATATTCGACAACGCTCGACGTTGTAAATTCAGGCCGCGAGGAGATTTGCGATCTTCTTCATTTCGATCGCCATAGTTCGCGAACGCTGATGGTCTCCCAGTGGGCACAGAAGATGCAGCCGTCACAAGATCCACCTCTCGGCTGTTCCTGAGTAAGGTATGATGTTCACGTGTCACTGTTTAGAATGTCACGTTTGATGAGTTTCTGCACGCAAAAAAGTGAAGGAGAGGTGCAGCAAGTCTATTTGGGTGTTCCTTGCAGCGTAGAAGATGTGAAAGGGTGTAGTAGCGTGAAAAGCTTTGTGAATGCGTCTGGGGTGTCGCATGTGTTGAACCGAGTGTAGCTCAGTTGGTAGAGCGATTGACTGTCAGTGTTGTAGGCTGTGTATCAGTGTGCTCGGAAATCAATTGGTCGCTGGTTCGATTCCGGCCACTCGGAGTTATGTGGCACCCTTGAGTTGCCCGTTCGCGCACTTGATGGCCTCTTTTTTTGGCGTTTGTTGTCGGTCATTTGCGTTCAAGAGAGCTATCCGTGCTTCATTTGAACAGAGCCCTCACTAGATCACCCGTACAACCAAGTCCACATCGTTATCCTTGCGGTGTATTGGGGTTCAGGGGGGCATTTACTCGATTGTTCAGTTCTCTCTTCCGTATTACACTCGTGTCGTCGAAGTTGGTATTGATGCAGGCCAAACACAATCGAGATTGAAGGCAGATCACGTCACAGAGAGACGACGCATATTCGACGACGCCTCGACGTTGTAAATTCAGGCCGCGAGGAGATTTGCGATCTTCTTCATTTCGATCGCCATAGTTCGCGAACGCTGATGGTCTCCCAGTGGGCACAGAAGATGCAGCCGTCACAAGATCCACCTCTCGGCTGTTCCTGAGTGATGTATGATGCTCACGTGTCACTGTTTAGAATGTCACGTTTGATGAGTTTCTGCACGCAAAAAAAGTGAAGGAGAGGTGCAGCAAGTCTATTTGGGTGTTCCTTGCAGTGTAGAAGATGTGAAAGGGTGTGTAGTAGCGTGAAAAGCTTTGTGAATGCGTCTGGGGTGTCGCATGTGTTGAACCGAGTGTAGCTCAGTTGGTAGAGCGATTGACTGTAGTGTTGTAGGCTGTGTATCAGTGTGCTCCGGAAATCAATTGGTCGCTGGTTCGATTCCGGCCACTCGGAGTTATGTGGCACCCTTGAGTTGCCCGTTCGCGCACTTGATGGCCTCTTTTTTTGGCGTTTGTTGTCGGTCATTTGCGTTCAAGAGAGCTATCCGTGCTTCATTTGAACAGAGCCCTCGCTAGACCACCTGTACAACCAAGTCCACATCGTTATCCTTGCGGTGTATTGGGGTTCAGGGGGCATTTACTCGATTGTTCAGTTCTCTCTTCCGTATTACACTCGTGTCGTCGAAGTTGGTATTGACGCAGGCCAAACACAATCGAGATTGAAGGCAGATCACGTCACAGAGAGACGGCGCATATTCGACAACGCTCGACGTTGTAAATTCAGGCCGCGAGGAGATTTGCGATCTTCTTCATTTCGATCGCCATAGTTCGCGTACGCTGATGGTCTCCCAGTGGGCACAGAAGATGCAGCCGTCACAAGATCCACCTCTCGGCTGTTCCTGAGTAATGTGATGATGCTCACGTGTCACTGTTTAGAATGTCACGTTTGATGAGTTTCTGCACGCAAAAGAGAAGGAGAGGTGCAGCAAGTCTATTTGGGTGTTCCTTGCAGCGTAGAAGATGTGAAAGGGTGTGTAGCAGCGTGAAAAGCTTTGTGAATGCGTCTGGGGTGTCGCATGTGTTGAACCGAGTGTAGCTCAGTTGGTAGAGCGATTGACTGTAGTGTTGTAGGCTGTGTATCAGTGTGCTCGGAAATCAATTGGTCGCTGGTTCGATTCCGGCCACTCGGAGTTATGTGGCACCCTTGAGTTGCCCGTTCGCGCACTTGATGGTCTCCTTTTTGGCGTTTGTTGTCGGTCATTTGCGTTCAGGAGAGCTATCCGTGCTTCATTTGAACAGAGCCCTCGCTAGACCACCTGTACAACCAAGTCCACATCGTTATCCTTGCGGTGCATTGGGGTTCAGGGGGGGGCATTTACTCGATTGTTCAGTTCTTTCTTCCGTATTACACTCGTGTCGTCGAAGTTGGTATTGATGCAGGCCAAACACAATCGAGATTGAAGGCAGATCACGTCACAGAGAGACGACGCATATTCGACAACGCTCGACGTTGTAAATTCAGGCCGCGAGGAGATTTGCGATCTTCTTCATTTCGATCGCCATAGTTCGCGTACGCTGATGGTCTCCCAGTGGGCACAGAAGATGCAGCCGCCACAAGATCCACCTCTCGGCTGTTCCTGAGTAATGTATGATGCTCACGTGTCACTGTTTAGAATGTCACGTTTGATGAGTTTCTGCACGCAAAAAAGTGAAGGAGAGGTGCAGCAAGTCTATTTGGCTGTTCCTTGCAGTGTAGAAGATGTGAAAGGGTGTGTAGCAGCGTGAAAAGCTTTGTGAATGCGTCTGGGGTGTCGCATGTGTTGAACCGAGTGTAGCTCAGTTGGTAGAGCGATTGACTGTAGTGTTGTAGGCTGTGTATCAGTGTGCTCGGAAATCAATTGGTCGCTGGTTCGATTCCGGCCACTCGGAGTTATGTGGCACCCTTGAGTTGCCCGTTCGCGCACTTGATGGCCTCTTTTTGGCGTTTGTTGTCGGTCATTTGCGTTCAAGAGAGCTATCCGTGCTTCATTTGAACAGACGGCCCTCACTAGATCACCTGTACAACCAAGTCCACATCGTTATCCTTGCGGTGTATTGGGGTTCAGGGGGCATTTACTCGATTGTTCAGTTCTCTCTTTCGTATTACACTCGTGTCGTCGAAGTTGCTATTGACGTAGGCCAAACACAATCGAGATTGAAGGCAGATCACGTCACAGAGAGACGACGCATATTCGACGACGCTCGACGTTGTAAATTCAGGCCGCGAGGAGATTTGCGATCTTCTTCATTTCGATCGCCATAGTTCGCGTACGCTGGTGGTCTCCCAGTGGGCACAGAAGATGCAGCCGTCACAAGATCCACCTCTCGGCTGTTCCTGAGTAAGGTATGATGCTCACGTGTCACTGTTTGGAATGTCACGTTTGATGAGTTTCTGCACGCAAAAAAAGAGAAGGAGAGATGCAGCAAGTCTATTTGGGTGTTCCTTGCAGCGTAGAAGATGTGAAAGGGTGTTAGCGTGAAAAGCTTTGTGAATGCGTCTGGGGTGTCGCATGTGTTGAACCGAGTGTAGCTCAGTTGGTAGAGCGATTGTCTGTAGTGTTGTAGGCTGTGTATCAGTGTGCTCGGAAATCAATTGGTCGCTGGTTCGATTCTGGCCACTCGGAGTTATGTGGCACCCTTGATTTGCCCGTTCACGCACTTGATGGTCTCCTTTTTGGCGTTTGTTGTCGGTCATTTGCGTTCAAGAGAGCTATCCGTGCTTCATTCGAACAGAGCCCTCACTAGATCACCCGTACAACCAAGTCCACATCGTTATCCTTGCGGTGTATTGAAGTTCAGGGGGGGCATTTACTCGATTGTTCAGTTCTCTCTTCCGTATTACACTCGTGTCGTCGAAGTTGGTATTGATGCAGGCCAAACACAATCGAGATTGAAGGCAGATCACGTCACAGAGAGAGCGACGCATATTCGACAACGCTCGACGTTGTAAATTCAGGCCGCGAGGAGATTTGCGATCTTCTTCATTTCGATCGCCATAGTTCGCGAACGCTGATGGTCTCCCAGTGGGCACAGAAGATGCAGCCGTCACAAGATCCACCTCTCGGCTGTTCCTGAGTAATGTATGATGCTCACGTGTCACTGTTTAGAATGTCACGTTTGATGAGTTTTCTGCACGCAAAAAAAGTGAAGGAGAGGTGCAGCAAGTCTATTTGGGTGTTCCTTGCAGCGTAGAAGATGTGAAAGGGTGTGTAGCAGCGTGAAAAGCTTTGTGAATGCGTCTGGGGTGTCGCATGTGTTGAACCGAGTGTAGCTCAGTTGGTAGAGCGATTGACTGTAGTGTTGTAGGCTGTGTATCAGTGTGCTCGGAAATCAATTGGTCGCTGGTTCGATTCCGGCCACTCGGAGTTATGTGGCACCCTTGAGTTGCCCGTTCGCGCACTTGATGGTCTCCTTTTTGGCGTTTGTTGTCGGTCATTTGCGTTCAGGAGAGCTATCCGTGCTTCATTTGAACAGAGCCCTCGCTAGACCACCTGTACAACCAAGTCCACATCGTTATCCTTGCGGTGCATTGGGGTTCAGGGGGGCATTTACTCGATTGTTCAGTTCTTTCTTCCGTATTACACTCGTGTCGTCGAAGTTGGTATTGATGCAGGCCAAACACAATCGAGATTGAAGGCAGATCACGTCACAGAGAGAGCGGCGCCCTTATTCGACA